CAATAATCAATAATATAATTTGAAAATGTAACGCAAATGGCTAAAATTAGTCTCCAATCAAGTGCAACTTTCCATGAAATACCCTACGGACTTCTAAATTATATGTACAAGTATTACTAAATCTACAACTGAAGCGGAACATTCTTTGGATTGGTCAAAATTATTAACACCACTTCCTAAATTGCACAAAATAGTACAAAGTAATACTGAAGTACAATTACACGGGGTAAATGCGTTCACTATGCGTTTACACGACAGTGTTTAGTCGCCGTTTTGATATATCAGTTTATAATTTTATTTTATAACTCGTCTTCCTAGGGAAGAATTCTTGCCTTCTCTCCAAGCCATGTGGGCATTACAGTCAACGTTGCCTGGCTACCAAAGCCAACGAATACAACTGTGTACCTGCGAGTCAGGCTGGGAAGGCAGAAACTGTGAAAGTAAGTTACTTAATCACTGTTCGTTTGTGTCTATGCATTATTCATCTCCTTTCTCCTCAGTTTTGTTTATTCATTTATTCGTTGTTTTCCATAATGTTTTATTCATCCATGTGTCGATTAATTTGTTTTCGTATTGCTATTTTTCAATCATTCATGATTCATTTATTCCTTTTTTATTCATTCAGTCTTAATTACTTTCATACGGGTTTGCCAGTCATTAATTACTCTAATAGCTCCTTTAATATTTCATTATGTAGTATTGAAAGGCGTTGCTGCCATGAAGGATAAATGCCTTGCTAATGACACCAAAGCAATAAAAACAGAATCCAACAAAAACCCACACGACTGTTTAACTGCTTGTAAAGCTACAAAAGAGTAAGTCCTATTGATGTTCCTTCTCGTTACATCATTAGATTCGTCACTACTGAAATTATAATCAAACCGGTTAGAAAGGGTGATCTCACCTGACATTATGCCTCTTTACCCGCAGTTGCAGGTCGTTCGTGTTCAYCCCAGCCAGTGCGAGTAGCAAAACTGGAAGCTGCAACTTGTACAACGTAAACAGCAAAGACGGCAAGGTCGTTTCATGCGCTGGAAAATCTTTGTTTGACATGACCGGAGGCGGAGAGAAACCAACAGCAGGTGCTGCAACAGCCATCGGGTCTCTCTACGCTCCTCTCCTTGTAGTCATTGCAAACATGGTCGCTTTGTTCAATCTGTAAAGCACTCCTAGAATAAATGGGYCATGTCTTCGACTCTGCTTTTAATTAATCGTTGTATCGACCATATTAATCCTTCCCGCACTAGAGTCTAATGGTAAAGAATCTGTTAACTCTGTTCCCCTTACGGTTTCGTACACTTCATGGAAAGGATCAATAAAAAGCTTTATAATACATTGTAAACTTGAGGAACTCATTGTGGTATATATTCACCCAAAATATGCAATTTAACGTAGTAAACAACATTATTTATTGTAAATCTAATTTATAGGTTTTGTTTCGCTGTGTACGACTGTTTGGTGAAAATTGCCAAGCTGTACGCACACTTAGTTAGATGCATGAGCACGTTATGATCGTTGAAATACAATATTCAGCTGTAAAACGCTATATTTTGTGGTCTTCTTTCCCTTTTTGATCTGTATCGACCATTTTTCTTACAAAAGAGTGGAATTTGGCGCAATACTGAAAACCGAAGTTGTCAAAGACTTTGAAACTTTGTTAAAGAAAGTCATACTGTTTTTCTTTAAACTACTCGTCTAAGTTAATTAAGTAAAAATTATGAATGGTCTGGAGGTTTTCCGATACCAAGTTTCCATATTTCCATATTGTAGTAATGTTAAATTTYAGTTGGGCAATGTTTTAACATCCGTAAACAACCCATCGCAACTAGTCATGCAAGCTATTTCTACTCACTGGTCGAGTGCTCACACTAAACCTCAACTAGCTCTTTTAAGACCATAAGCTACGCATTATCTCGAAGAGTTGATCATAAATAAGGCGAGTTTCAGACCTGCAAGAACGACCAAACAGAGCTGCAAGGCGGRCACCAAGAAATGTCCGCAAGTTGACCAACAACAAACGGTTTATTAGTGTGTCTGGTCCTTGGTTTTCAGCGTTTCATTGCTTTGCATCCGAGTCATACAATACTCAGAAAACGAGTGTTTGGCATGTAAGGGCGGCTTTTCTGTCTCTTTGTCTGACATTTATTACTGAAACCATTTGGTATCATTGAAGAGTTTCTGCAGAAGTTTTGAGGAAGTTGAAACTGCATTCGGTCACAGCGACTTTTCTTTGAACTTTCAACTGACAGGGGTAATAAGTGCTATAATTGGACTTTTCGAACCAAGAAAAAAGTTTGTTTGTTATTACGAGTAAATGCGGAATTGGTCGACTTGAGAGGATTTTAGCTTCAGTCAACAAGAGCTTGTGTTCGCGAGCAGCGTGTTTTGTCATTATAAGCATCTATAGAAAATAAATGGCATTCGCGCAGCTGCAAGCCTTCGTTTAATTTTTTCGAGCAATTTCACTGAGTTTAGTTAGAGACCTTTTCATTTGGGCGTGCAATGGAAATTCCTATTTGTTTCTCGAACAAATGAAAACAATAAAGTCAGAGTTCTTGATACCAACTCTTAGTCATGTCAGTCTGATAATCTTTCACGGTTAAAT